TCCCTTTCATTCTAATCTGCTCCTACATTAATTTACACTCTTCAATCTTTTAGTTGTTCTTGCATTTTACACGCTATCCATTTAATGAGAGAAAAGCAGGCTACATTTTTTCTCCCATGAGCTACTCAAGATTATAATCATGTGAATATTCCAGACCTCCTAATGACACAGGACAAATCTTACTCTTCTGGACTTGGCCTTGCAGCCTTGATGTCCTGAATGAATGTCGTATCTCCTTTCCCTTCTCCCCTGCCCTTCTTTGTAGGGGTCTCCACGAGATCCCACAGCTTCTTGTTCTTGCATCCTCTCTTTGGGTGATATCATCACCCAGGGTCTAAATTCCTATCCTTATGCCAATGAATTGCCAAATGGCTTACTGTCCTATACAATCTTTATTTCAGCTTGACTCTCTCTTACACAGCCCTGTATGTCCTGCCATCAGTTTACACTTAACAGGACTAAATTTTAACTCCTATTCTTCCCTCCCATACTTCCTCTCCTTCAATCACCAAAACAGATCTGTTACATCAGCATGGTTTCCAACTGTTTCCTCTCATTTGCTCTAATCAGAAAATCAAATTTTGCTTTTTCTTCCACCACAATATTTCTAAAAGCTGACCTTTTATTCCTATCCTCAATTGTCACCTGTCTCGACTACCTGCACTTTGGCCTGGCCTCCCTGACACGCACCTTCTTCCTAACTTTGAATCTATTCCAATCATAGTTTCTAATTATCATCTTCCTCTTGACAGTTCTCACCATTTGACTTGAAATCCTGCACTGGGCTCTCTCCTTGTCACCTCATTACGCTCAAGCTTCTCATCCTGATCTTGTAAGGCATTTTACAACTCTGTCCTTTCCTGTTTTAGGTACTATTATTGCACTGCCCCCAATCCTTCTCTCTGCTTTGAATACCCCTTTGTCTGCTTCCCTGAGATTTATCAGCATGCTCTGATGCTGCACCTTACTTGAAGATGACCTAACATCATTATACTCCTCCAGATACACACCTCAAGTCTCTCCCTCTGAAAACTTACTTTTTTATGTTGCCTTCAAGAAATCACCCATTGACCTCTGTACTGAACGACCAACTGAAAAATCTTCAAATTAATCTTACAAGGTACAATGACTAAACAACATAATTGGCAATCTTTTTACTGTTAATCTTGTCCCATCTCCTTTGCTCCAGGTATGATTTACTACTTTTGCAATGACCTTTTTCAAATTAGATTTAACATAACAGCATAAGTGTCATACTGGCTAGGGACAGAATTTACACATAAACCAGTTTAAGTGATCAGAAACTGGTTTAAACCAACAGAAGCTCGGTGTACATTAACCCATTTCAAAATGACTGAAACTGGTTTAAGATAAACCTGGTTGAATGTAGTATCAGATTTAACTGATTGGGTCAAATTGGTTTATGAAACTTCTGTCCCAAATCCCTTCCTGGTCCAAGTTAAATCACTGTCCCCCAACAACCAAGCATGATTTTCAACCCTGGGCTGGGCTGGGCTGGGCTGGGCTGTCTGCTTCTAACAGCAGGGCTGACCCCGGCCCTCTGCTGGCTGACAGGGGTGTGTGGGGCAAGCCCAGCTGAGGATTCAGCCCAGTTTGCAGGGAGGGGGGTTAAACACCCCTATCCCCCACTCAAACTTACAGCTGGCTGCAACTGTGGACTACAAATCCAAGAGGCAGCTGAAAGCAGGAAAAGAAAGTAAAGAGCAACCCTACAGAGTCCTGCTGATGTAATTCTGGATTGCAAATCCCAGAGACCTTGGGGGCAGCAGGAAGAGGAAGCGAATACACAGCCAGAAAACCATACTCTAGCACCCCCTGGCATCTGGCCTGAGCCACTGCAGGCATGTGGCTGCATTACCTGAATCAAAGGTAAATGTCTGTTCACTTCTGTTTTAATTTAATCTCTGCAGTTTAGACTAACCTGCGAAGACTAAATTGATTCAGCATCAGGCTTTTTGACTCTCTGTACCTAGCCACTGTGTCAGGCCAATGGTCCATCTAGCTCAGTGGTGCTCAACCATATTGTCCAGCAGGCTGGATGGGCAGCACTCAGTCCCTCCAAAGGCTGGATTCAGCCAATGGACACAGTCTAGTCGGGATCAGTGATGCAGAGCCCCATCCAAGCACGTGGAGGAAGGAGGCTTGGCCTGGCCCCAACCTGGCTCTGTAGAGGAGAGGGTATGGCTGGGCACTAACCCAGCCCATCAGAAGGAAGTGGGCAGGGCTCAGCCCCGACCTGGCCAATTGGAGGAAAGGGGGAGTGGCCGGACCCTGTGGGAGCAGAGGGAGAATTTAAGAAATGGTGATCTAAGTACAGGCTGGCTTTCTTTCTTATAAATCAATTACTCTCCCCAAGTTACAGCAAATACCATATGAGACAGGTTTCATTTTGAGGTTCCTGAGCAGTTCTCTATGCCTATTTCATAGCAGATATAATGAAATAGTTCATAGGTTATTTCATCGAGTCTCCTTCCACATTAAATCATGTTTGCCTTGATTCTTGGTTTTAAACAATTGCCGCTACCCATTGTGGACAAAGAACTTTGATTAGAAAAAGCAAGAAATACAGCCATCAAGAAATTATTTCTAGCAAGCACAGCCAGGATATTTGATATTTTCCTTTTTTGGCACTTCAGGCTATTAAGGTAAGAGAGAAGATATGACTAATTCAGCATATTGCCTTCTGAAGTCTTGATCTCTCCCGCAAATCCTAGACAGAGGCCCTTAAATCTTCTCCAGGCAGTTTTTCAATCCTCAGGAATATAAAAATGTAACTGAAGAGCTGGATAACATTTTGAAGAAAGAGGATATCAGGAAATAGGGCTACAAGCAAAATCATAGGGAAAAGATAATAAATAGATTGATTCTGAAATCCTTTTCTTAGAATATGAAAAATGGTGAACCACTGGGCTTTCTAAGCTCTTACAAGTTTCTTTATGAAGTTATTAATCAGATGGTAACAGTTCAAAATATGCCTGAACTGCAGGGATTTAATATTTACTTAAATTATTTTATTCATAAACTTAAAAATAGCAACAAAACTAATGTTCCCCCTTTGAACTACTGAAATTAATTGTAGTTTTGGTAAAGTCAAATTGATAGTTGAAAAACTCCTCAAAAAATCTAACAAACATGTCCATTAAAAAGATTAGTAAATTGCTTTTATTGGTTAAAAAAATTCCAAAATGTTCCTCTCTAACCCATCCAGAGCCCTATAAACCATGCAGAGCCTATAAAAGATGACATTCTGGCTCCCCTTATGTAAACCAAAAATTCATTCATTTCTTAATCCATCTTTTTTCTGAATTATACAGGCATTTTTAAAAAAATCAATGTCTACTCTAGCCTTAGAAAACAGCAATAGACACTAGAATCAGAAAAAATAACATAACAGGATTCTAATGTTATAAAACTCTTTGTCTGTCTGTCCATAACGATTTAGTTGTGTTCTGACTGGCTCTCAGCCAATCAGACAAACAGCCAATCAGAGTGTGAAGAAGTGTTCGGACAGGTGGCAGAGCACCACCATGATGCCAGGGACACGGGATGGAGTGGGGGGCCTTGCTCCCTGCAGGTGGCAACAATGTGGCGGGGCAGGCAAGGCCACCGGAGCTGGCCTTGCCCCCCCTCACCCCCTTGGAAGTGACAGCAGTGGTGGCGCGGGGTGGAGCAGGGTCGGGATGCCATGGCGGGAGGTGAGGCCACTGGTGCTGGCCTTGGCCCGCCCCTCTCCCCTTCCGTCGCTGCTGCCTGCAGGGCTGACACGGAGGCGGTGGGGAGAGGAGGGGGCCCAACGCGGGGGGGTGAGGAGCGGGCATGCCATGGCAGCGGCAGTGGTGGTAGGGGCAGAGGCAGGGAAGGAGTGGGCCTGGGGCCGATGTGGGAGGGAGCGAGCCCGAGCAGGGGGAGAAGCTGGTCTGCTGCAGCAGTGGCGGGGGGGTTGGGGGGAGACAACAGGCCCAGCCTGACGCAGCAGCAGCTGGGGGAGGGGAGGAACGAGCCTCCTCCCTGCCTTGGGCCCAGGCCTACTCCTCCCCCACCCCCCGCATCAGCCCCAAGCCCACTCATCCCATCCACCCACCACCACTGGGTTGGCACAGGCCTGCTAGTCCCCTCCCTGAAGCGGCCTGGCTTCTCCCCACCCTGAAGTCCAGTCCTTCCCCTCATTGGGCCCAGGCTCACTTCTCCCCTCTCCCTGCTGCTGCAGCAGGGAGTGGGGGAACAGGCCCAGACCCCAAGCATCAGGAGAGAAGGGGGGAGGGGCCCAGATAGGGTGGGTAGCACGGGGCTCCATCCCTACCCACTTCCTCCCCACCCCGCCCCCGTCATTCCTGATGGGCAATTAGCTAGTATTAATACAACATTAATACATTACATTCTCATTAAAAAACTAATAACACAAAATCTGAGAGTACAATTTAAAAATATGTATATATACACTGTATGGCCTATAATTATATACACAGTGTGTCTATGTGCATCCTTAAGAAATTAAGAACAACCGCATATATATAATGAGTTCAGTCAATGATAAAGAAGCCCAAAGAAGCATACAGTAAAAACATCCAAAATATGAGATGAAAAGGAAAGACAAAAGGGTCAGAATTAAGGCACATACTTGGTAAAACCTTATGTATAATTTTCAGAGTGCCTAAGTTCCCCAAACTTTCAACGGAACTTAATTACTTAAGTCACTTAGGCACTTCTAAAAACTCTCTCACACTGTCTTGAGGACAACTAGAGAATGAATACTCCTGTAGTTAGTGAGGACAGAACACCTTACATGGAGTCCCTGAAGTGAGAAATTTGTCCCATAGCCAAAGTCAGATGAAACAGCCAGCAACAAAGCTCTAAAGATTTGTGGATTAAAAAAAACACAGTTATTTACAATAAGCACACTAATAGCTGAACTAAATTACTATAATGTGACTAAAACTCAAGATAACTTCACAGATGTAAAAAAGCAGGGCTTTGCTAACCTGAATTTCTTCCCAGATGTCCTCATCTAGAAGAGTGGCTGCACTGTGGTGTTGAAAAGGGGCTATCAGGCAGTGACCTTCAGTAAGTGACTGACAACTCGGCAGAGATAAGTATACCTGGAGAGAGACAAATGTTCCTACACAATCAAAAAAGTACTCATTTCTTTTCAGAGTCAAAAATCCTTTCAAGACCAAGCTATGGAAAACAGGATTTTATTAACAATTTAATAAAAGAAGCTTTAAACTGAAATATTTTAAAGCAAAATACAAATATCTTAATATTAACTTATTTTATAAACTGTTGATAAAGGCAGCTTTCTTACAGTGTCTATATAAAACCTACAAGTCACTTGGACTGACAAAAATTGTAATTCAGCATCTTTGACTCCTGACAGACATTAATTTATATCATACAAGGGGATCTAAGAAATTACAGCCCTAATCCCCAAAATAGCAAGCATCCTGCCTAGCCAAACACGCACTGCAGAACACATGATTTTTGGGATTTGGGATACAACTCCTCAGATCCTACTGCAAGTCCGCCAGCATGCAGGAAGTTCTAGATTAGAGGCCAATTTCCCAAACCTGGGCTCCCCATATTGAAAGTCATGCATGCATTGGGGAATGGCATTGCAAGGCATAGCATGCACTGGGGAACATGTTCCCTGATGCTGGACTTTATAGTGCAAGTGACAGAGGGCAGCTGTGTCCTACACTGTCACAAGCCTTTCCCCACAAGGCTTCAAATATCCCAGCACACAGCAAGCCCAGGATCCTGAGTCCCCATGCTGGCAAGTTTAAAGTTGTGCCATGTAACCTAGCATCATGCTGCATGGGAGTGGCTTCAGATACATGGGGTGGAAAATTTTCCAGTGCTTCATTTTTCTGCAGAAAATTTTCTGCCCCACATTTCTGCCTTTAGTGAAAGAGAATGTGGTTCAAGTAGTTCTGAATCAGATTTGCCTCAATCTGATTCAGAAATGGAACTAATAATCAGTGAAAGTGATTCTACAGATAGAGACAGTGAAACTGGAGGTGCTGCAATGACCTCAGTGGAAGAGAGTTAAACTCTGTTGAAGTAGATGAGTGGACAACATGGCATATCATGCACAGTTCTTTGGGTGTGCTAAAATTAGTGTGTCAACAGTTTTCAGTGCCTTCGTTTTTTTTCCCCCTTAAATTTAAACAAATGTAAGGGAAGAAGTATATGCTATTGTGTATTGTTTTTACATTTTTACAAGTATTCCAATAAAAATAATTTATTTCCACATAAAGCTTTGAATTTGTTAAAGAATATAACATTTAAACCACATTAAGAATGCTGTATTTAATTTTTTCCCAATCAAACATTTCAGTTCAAATACTTTTGGCTATTGGGACATAAAATTAACATGGGGGTACTTTTTTAGTTTTATTTGATTTATATTTAGTAAACAAACATGCTAAATCAGATCACACTCTATTTAGGGCATTGGAAAATTTTCCGGAAATTGTCAACATTTTCCGGAAAACCCACATCTCCGAGTGGCTTTAAATGTTGCAGTGCAGTCTGCATGGCATGCCTTTCCAGGGATGGAGGCAGCTATGTGCCAAAGCCAGGGACTGCCCCTTGCTGGTTCCACTGATCAGATGCACTCAGCCCGGCCAACATGTTCAAAGCATACATGCAGCTGCCTTTGTAAAGTACTTTGTTTATAAACTGAGTTGAGGCTCAACTTAAAATTTTACATTGAGTGGATGTGGGATGTATATAAATTTGGGGACTCAACCCCAAAGAAAAAGAAACGGTCTCTATACATTATCAACAACAGAACAGTCTGAATACATTTAATCTTGATTAAATTTGACCTCCATTGAAACCTTTTTTACATTTAATAGACAAACACTGTGATAATCTACTCTACCTACTACACATGCACCCAGCATGCAGAGGATCTGAGCATATCTGCAGCAACGCAATCCCCCATTCCCTAACATTTCAGTTTGAGAACAAACCTAGTATTTCAGATTTTAAAAATCCATTGAAAATCCGTATGTATTTTCTACCCTGTCAGAGAAACAGATTTTCAGGCAAAAAAGCCTGGTAATCTGACATTAAGGTTGTAAACATTTATCAGGTAAAAGATAAAAACAAAGGAAACACTGTACAATAAAAGTTGTCAATTACATTCTCCAAAATATTCTAATTTCAGCATAAGACAGCCCCTGTGAAATTGCAGGCAGATCACTTCTGTTTCAATGAAGTTAAATCAGCATGGTGATCAAAACAGAACCAATAATAAAAGTTACCTTCAGCCTAAACTAAGGAGAAACTTGCATTTCTCTATCATCAGTTTGTTACAAGTGATTTTATTTTATATTATGATTATATCCTAACAAAACACACTATGGAAACATCTTTTATTGTACAGTCCAAAGCCTTTCTTTTCATAAATACAATGTCACTTCTCACCAAATATGCCCACCAATATGTTATACCACATACTGGTAATGTTAAACAAAGCTGTATTTCATCACTGATTCAATTTCATGCTAACTTGATTCAGTCTATGCCTTGTAGCTGAAAAATTATCTGACTGTAATTTTCTGAAAAGCATTTAGGGTTAGTGTACATTATAGGTAGCCATTTCACTGAAAAAACTAAAGGATAAGTAATTATGAGCAAATTATGTTTACACCAAGTTTTAAAATTGCTGTGAAAGAGATTTGACTATATACATGCAGAGAGAAAATGGGATTTAGAGACATAGCTCTGGTCATCTTCTCATGTCCTGTTACCATGGTCTCAAACTTGAACAAAAACAGGTACTTACTTCACTTCTGGAGGAAGCAATATATTATCAGAGTCCCCTGGCAGACATTACACTTAAAATGGGATTAACCTGTTAATTATGTTTTAAATGGTAACCCAGCCATATATTCAGACAATAATAGCGCAACAAAACAAGAAACCAGCCACAAAATGATTCCATAAAATTAGAGGTGTACCAATACATTGGTCCAATATCGGATTGGTACCGACATAAAGAAAACTGCCTGTATCGGATGGGGCTGATAATTTGGCCGATAAATGTCCATGCTGCGCACAGCCTCTGTGTATCACTCAAACAGTGAGGAGCACAGCCAGCAGTGTGGAGAGCTCTCTTGAGCTGGTAAGTCCAGTGTGGTGGAAGGGGAGGGAAGCGGAGTGGGGTGGGGTAAGATCAATGCCCCCCAAGGTGAGAGCCACAGGGGTCAGGGGCAGGCACTACCTACGTGGGCTGGGGGGCGGGGGGCCAAGAGCCACAGCTTATGGAGGGGGCCCCTGGAGCTTGCTGCTGCTTGCAGCCCGGTAGGACATGGGAGGGGGGGCACTGTGCCCCCTGGATCTGTGCAGGGCGGGGCAGGCTGCAGCTGGGGCTGCATGGGGCTCTTCTCAGCGGGGGCTGGGCTCGGAGCAGGCGCAGCAGTGCTAGGAAGATGCTGCATCCACCCGAAATTTTGCTGCCACTCTGCTCTCAGCGCCACTGCCACCAGCCGCCCGGCACAGCCCCGGCTCTTCCCAGAGCATGGGTGGAAGCAGGACATTGAGCTGGGGCTGCGCTGGGTGGCTGGTGGCAGCATCACTGGGAACAGAGCAGCAGTGAAATTTGGGACAGATGCAGCATCCTCCCAGCACCACTGGCACCCATTCTGAGCCCAGCACCCACCGAGAAGAGCCCTCCCTGTGCAGCCCGTTGCAGCCTGCCCCCCACCCCATGCCCTTCTGGGCTGCAAGCAGCAGCAGAAGTGGACTCCCCCCACCATGAACCACACAGTTTTCAGTGCCTTCGTTTTTTTTCCCCCTTAAATTTAAACAAATGTAAGGGAAGAAGTATATGCTATTGTGTATTGTTTTTACATTTTTACAAGTATTCCAATAAAAATAATTTATTTCCACATAAAGCTTTGAATTTGTTAAAGAATATAACATTTAAACCACATTAAGAATGCTGTATTTAATTTTTTCCCAATCAAACATTTCAGTTCAAATACTTTTGGCTATTGGGACATAAAATTAACATGGGGGTACTTTTTTAGTTTTATTTGATTTATATTTAGTAAACAAACATGCTAAATCAGATCACACTCTATTTAGGGCATTGGAAAATTTTCCGGAAATTGTCAACATTTTCCGGAAAACCCACATCTCCGAGTGGCTTTAAATGTTGCAGTGCAGTCTGCATGGCATGCCTTTCCAGGGATGGAGGCAGCTATGTGCCAAAGCCAGGGACTGCCCCTTGCTGGTTCCACTGATCAGATGCACTCAGCCCGGCCAACATGTTCAAAGCATACATGCAGCTGCCTTTGTAAAGTACTTTGTTTATAAACTGAGTTGAGGCTCAACTTAAAATTTTACATTGAGTGGATGTGGGATGTATATAAATTTGGGGACTCAACCCCAAAGAAAAAGAAACGGTCTCTATACATTATCAACAACAGAACAGTCTGAATACATTTAATCTTGATTAAATTTGACCTCCATTGAAACCTTTTTTACATTTAATAGACAAACACTGTGATAATCTACTCTACCTACTACACATGCACCCAGCATGCAGAGGATCTGAGCATATCTGCAGCAACGCAATCCCCCATTCCCTAACATTTCAGTTTGAGAACAAACCTAGTATTTCAGATTTTAAAAATCCATTGAAAATCCGTATGTATTTTCTACCCTGTCAGAGAAACAGATTTTCAGGCAAAAAAGCCTGGTAATCTGACATTAAGGTTGTAAACATTTATCAGGTAAAAGATAAAAACAAAGGAAACACTGTACAATAAAAGTTGTCAATTACATTCTCCAAAATATTCTAATTTCAGCATAAGACAGCCCCTGTGAAATTGCAGGCAGATCACTTCTGTTTCAATGAAGTTAAATCAGCATGGTGATCAAAACAGAACCAATAATAAAAGTTACCTTCAGCCTAAACTAAGGAGAAACTTGCATTTCTCTATCATCAGTTTGTTACAAGTGATTTTATTTTATATTATGATTATATCCTAACAAAACACACTATGGAAACATCTTTTATTGTACAGTCCAAAGCCTTTCTTTTCATAAATACAATGTCACTTCTCACCAAATATGCCCACCAATATGTTATACCACATACTGGTAATGTTAAACAAAGCTGTATTTCATCACTGATTCAATTTCATGCTAACTTGATTCAGTCTATGCCTTGTAGCTGAAAAATTATCTGACTGTAATTTTCTGAAAAGCATTTAGGGTTAGTGTACATTATAGGTAGCCATTTCACTGAAAAAACTAAAGGATAAGTAATTATGAGCAAATTATGTTTACACCAAGTTTTAAAATTGCTGTGAAAGAGATTTGACTATATACATGCAGAGAGAAAATGGGATTTAGAGACATAGCTCTGGTCATCTTCTCATGTCCTGTTACCATGGTCTCAAACTTGAACAAAAACAGGTACTTACTTCACTTCTGGAGGAAGCAATATATTATCAGAGTCCCCTGGCAGACATTACACTTAAAATGGGATTAACCTGTTAATTATGTTTTAAATGGTAACCCAGCCATATATTCAGACAATAATAGCGCAACAAAACAAGAAACCAGCCACAAAATGATTCCATAAAATTAGAGGTGTACCAATACATTGGTCCAATATCGGATTGGTACCGACATAAAGAAAACTGCCTGTATCGGATGGGGCTGATAATTTGGCCGATAAATGTCCATGCTGCGCACAGCCTCTGTGTATCACTCAAACAGTGAGGAGCACAGCCAGCAGTGTGGAGAGCTCTCTTGAGCTGGTAAGTCCAGTGTGGTGGAAGGGGAGGGAAGCGGAGTGGGGTGGGGTAAGATCAATGCCCCCCAAGGTGAGAGCCACAGGGGTCAGGGGCAGGCACTACCTACGTGGGCTGGGGGGCGGGGGGCCAAGAGCCACAGCTTTTAGAGGGGGCCCCTGGAGCTTGCTGCTGCTTGCAGCCCGGTAGGACATGGGAGGGGGGGCACTGTGCCCCCTGGATCTGTGCAGGGCGGGGCAGGCTGCAGCTGGGGCTGCATGGGGCTCTTCTCAGCGGGGGCTGGGCTCGGAGCAGGCGCAGCAGTGCTAGGAAGATGCTGCATCCCCCCGAAATTTTGCTGCCACTCTGCTCTCAGCGCCACTGCCACCAGCCGCCCGGCACAGCCCCGGCTCTTCCCAGAGCATGGGTGGAAGCAGGACATTGAGCTGGGGCTGCGCTGGGTGGCTGGTGGCAGCATCACTGGGAACAGAGCAGCAGTGAAATTTGGGACAGATGCAGCATCCTCCCAGCACCACTGGCACC